TTAGATGGGGAGGTTGGAGTCACTCCAAAATCATCCCTGAAAGGATGGTTCTTATTCTTCGACTTTTCAAAAATCAAATGTATAACCCTCCGAAAAGTTGTGTTTATGGTGTGATTTGAACCTCGAAAAATTTCAGCCCGATCAGAACATCCAAAAAGGTGCTGCTGTGGCCGACAAGTCTTGGATCAGGAACTTTCAATTTTAGACGGACGCGTTGTTCCGTCATTTGGTGAATTTTTTCCCCTCTAAAATGTTGCTACAGCTTTGGATTTTTGGAGGTAACACAAATTTTGAGGTGATTTATGTTAAAAATAACTTGCTTTAACCCGCTACGTTCACAATGCCCCTTACCTCCTCCCCCCCCCTTTCTTCCGGCAAAGTGACCACAAAGTGCGATTTCATCGATTTTTCGTAACATTCTCCCTGCACAGTGTGTGTGTGTTTTTTTTTGCCTTTAAAATTTTGCCATGCTTTTTCGGAAATTGTCTGAAGTAATACACTATTTAGGTTTTCACGAAACGAATAACATATCTTACTACCTCATTACTTCAAAAATGCTCCTTTCCCCTTCCAAGGGGCCGAATCGTGCGATTCTCCGATTTTTCGTAACATTTTCCTGGCACAGTTTTCCTGAACGCATTTAAATTTTTTGACTAATCAATAGCGGAAACTCCAGGTTCTTTTAGTAGAAAGTCTATTGTGTCATTTAAGCCTCAAAGAAAATAACTGTTTAGCTCCTGGAAAATAAAGTCAATTTACAGTTATTTTGTGTCTAAATAGACAACTTACCAGCTTCAAGTTCCACTATATCATTGGAAGGAAATTTTCTTGATAGTTAAAATGCCGAAGTTTCTTGAATATGGTTGTTTGAAGTTCATTGCACAAATTATCCCTGGAGCTCACCTTAAATGGCCTGCTTTTTGGGCAGTCGATTTGTCCGTCAAACTGCATTTTTAAAGTTATGAGGTAAATAGTTTTTTGTTTTGTGGAAATCTAAAAAGTGTGTTGCTTCAGAAAATTTCCGAAAAAGCATGGCAAAATTTTAAAGGCAAAAAAAAGCACACACACACTGTGCAGGGAGAATGTTACGAAAAATCGATGAAATCGCACTTTGTGGTCACTTTGCCGGAAGAAAGGGGGGGGGAGGAGGTAAGGGGCATTGTGAACGTAGCGGGTTAAAGCAAGTTATTTTTAACATAAATCACCTCAAAATTTGTGTTACCTCCAAAAATCCAAAGCTGTAGCAACATTTTAGAGGGGAAAAAATTCACCAAATGACGGAACAACGCGTCCGTCTAAAATTGAAAGTTCCTGATCCAAGACTTGTCGGCCACAGCAGCACCTTTTTGGATGTTCTGATCGGGCTGAAATTTTTCGAGGTTCAAATCACACCATAAACACAACTTTTCGGAGGGTTATACATTTGATTTTTGAAAAGTCGAAGAATAAGAACCATCCTTTCAGGGATGATTTTGGAGTGACTCCAACCTCCCCATCTAAATAAAATAATCAACCATCTACACAGCCAAGAATTCTGAGAAATATTTCCTCTTGAAAATTTATCATAGAAAATTAGGTCTTTTTATTAAAGTAAATTATGTCTCTTTAATATGTCTGTAGATTTTACAATACAACAGAGCCAACCGAGCCGTAGCAATTCTGTGCAACCATCAGCGTTCTGTTCCTAAAAGTCATGATAAGTCGATGGGTAATTTAGAAGAAAAAATCGAGAAAAAGAAGGAACAGGTAGCAGAAGCGGAGAAACAGGTCAAGGAAGCCAAACGAGAGGCCAAAGGAGGAAGTGCGCATGGAAAGATGTAAGTGAACTCATTTTTTCTTAATTAATTTTTGTCATAAGAGGGAGTCTGATTAAGTGCCAAAAGGGGTACATGCAAAAGGCCATTTCGGGCTCGGGGCGGATACCTTTGAGACTTGCCTTATTCATTCACCAAACAATACCCGATCTTTTCCCAAAGTTTTAAGTCCCCCAAAAATTTTTGGGGGGGGGGGGGGGGGGGTCAAAGGTGAGAATCACCAACATTTTCGCGAATATTTTCCTCTAAAACCAACACGTTTTGAATCTCGCGGTTTAGACAAGCGTTTCCAGCGTGACGAGAGCTTTCAGAAAATGTATAACATCATAGAGTTTTGCGAACCTCGGCTCGAACACTAAAAAAAGACCCACTTTTTTTTTTACGTCCGGGCCGATAAAGCCATTTTTTAATTTTGATGAAAAACTGATATGTTGTTCATGACTCTCTGTAGCCCCCTCTTGCTCTTTACCGTGTGCTGAGGAAATGCTTTGGTCGCGGGTTATAAGAGCGGAAAGAAGCGAAGGTCGGGAAATTCGGCTATTTTCAACTGCGCGCCCGTTGATGGGAGGACACCGGCAAAAATGCGAGCTCGGCCGAGGAGTGTGATTCGCAGAACTGAGCGGGAGGGGATGTTCCCCTTCCGATCAACGCCGCGCGCGCAGTTTAAAATAGTTCATTTTCCCGACCTTCGCTTCTTTCCGCTCTTATAACTTGCGACCAAAACATATCCCCAGCATACGGCAAAGAGCTAGAGGGGCTACAGAGAGTCAGGAACAATATATCAGTTTTTCATCCAATTTAAAAATTGCTTTTTTTGAATCGGCCCAAACGTGAAAAGAAGGGGTCTTTTTTGAGCGTTCCGGCGCGTCGGAGGCGATAACTCGAGCTGAAGTTGACAAAACCCTATGATGTTATAAATTTTCTGAAAGCTCTCGTTACGCTGAAAACGCTAGTCTTAGCCGCGTTTTTCATAACTTCTCGGTTTTTGAGTAATAAATTTGCGAACATTTTGCCGCTTTTTAACTTTGACCCCCCACCGCGTCTCCCCAAAATTTTTGGGGGGCTTCAAACTTTTGGAAAAGATCGGGCATTGTATAATGAATGAATAAGGCAAGTCTCTAAGGTATCCGCCTCAAGCCCGAAATGGCCCATTTAGCATGTACCCCTCTCCTCTTGTCTCCCTAAGCGGGGTTTTCCTCCTATCAGGAGATATGAATTTTAGATCTGTAATAGAACAAGTGTGTTTTACCAATGATTTCTCTTTAATACTTGATTGAGGATCTCTTCAAGATAAAAACAAAACGTGACAATTGCCAGAATTCTCCTCCTTCAACTGATGATGGAAAAAGTACTTATGAGAGATTTTGCTGAAGGCCAAACTAGCATTCGCTCCACCTCTCAACTAGGTACATTTGTATAAAAATTGAGGCACAAGCGGGATCAGAGTTCCTGCTTTGAATGGTTTCCTGCAACCCGTGGTACACAGTTAGCAAGGGCGGCACCGGGGAAACAGTTGCACTCCAGTTGTCGAATTGATGAAGTCCTCTTCTGAAGCATTCTGCATCTCCTCTGAACGCGTTTGGCCTGCTCCTGCGTTGATTAAACCGAGAGATATCTCTCGGGTTGTAGTTTTTGGGTACCCAAAAACTACGATCACAAATTTTATCTCATATCGGCTGCTTTGTCCACTATCGTTTTTAGAGTTGAGAATAATGCTGTTTCGGCCTGTCGTTGAGAAAAGATGTAGACTGATCGTAGAGAGGGGGAGGGGCGAGCAACAGATCTCAAGCGCAAACGTGTTTCAACGAACTGATTTTATTTGATCAGAAGCTGATTGGGTCGTTTGCATTTGCCGCTCCGTGAGTGTTGAAAATTTAGAAGGAAGGTGCAATTTGAATCGGAATATCAAATTTTCGGCGTTGATCTTCATGGCAAGGAGGAAACCTGGCGAGGAACTTTCCAGTCGCCCCCTCCCGAGGGGAAGGGAGGTAACTCGAGAATTTAAAATGGCAGCCCCCCCCCCCCCCCCACATATACAACGTTGAAAATAGCAATAAAAAAGAAAAATCTGGGCGCAAACCTCAAGTCGATCTGATTTCCTGCCATAAGCTAAGAGGGGTCTAAAGTTTGTGTGGGGAGTCTGCTACTTTATTTCTTAGAGTAGGTTCGGCGGCTCTTGGACGGACCGTTTCCCTGAAAGAGTCCTTGAAAACTCCACATGTGACACCTGAGTTTCCATTTCGCTCCCGCATGTGTGGGAGCCACCACAGGCGCCAAAGAGGGGGGGGGGACTTATTTTTTTTAAATCGACCAAACCAAATGTTGCAGGCTTTTAAATGGTTCTATGTGATAAAAAAACATGTTAGCCAAAAGAATGTTGAAAAAAAAAAATTAACCTGGCCTGCACAGAGCCTAAAAATCGTAATTTTTCCGATTATTTTGGCATTTAACATTCTTTCTGATACTTTAGTCAGTGGCAAGGATTTGACGTTAGATGTTCAAAAATCGGTACAGACCTAGCACAAACCTTGTAGATCAAGGGAAATTTTTTTTTTTCTCTTAGGTCACTCACTTCGTTTGGTAATGTCCAAACATTCCGCTCTAAAAATCGAAATTTTACAATTCCTGAACGTATAATGAATTATTTGAGAAGCCTCTAATGGTAGTAAAAGTTCAAAACTTTGTAGAAAGCAAGTCCATACCATCAGTATGGAAAGCAAAAATTTACATAAACTCCTAGGTCTTTTATTTTCTGTCAAGGTATGCCTGCAACGGCGGAAAATCCGTCGAAAATAGCTCAATTTTGACCGTTTTTTCGCTTTCGTAAATTCATTGGACACCCACTAGTGACAATGAAGGTCCGAAAATTCGTGGAAAGTAAGTTCTTACCATTTGTATGGAATAAAACATTTTATTTGGTTCCTACATCTTACGTCCTTTGTCAATAGATCGTCCATTAGAAGGGAAGAAAAATCAATAGTCAAAAATGCGAAAAATGCCAATTTTTGCTCTTTTTCCAAGTTCAGCGCCCGCCAGCGCGCTTAATTTTGCCTTGAGAAAGAAACACGCATAGAAACAATTTTCTAGGAAATTCAGTGAGCTTTAATTTTGAAAATAACTAATTTCGTCGTCAGAACAATCTTTGACACGCTACAGGCCATAATCCGCCAAAAAACCCAATTTTAGGCCATTTTCGCCCAATTTGTTAACTTTTCGGTTCGAAATTTTTGGTACACAATTAAAATTCGGATTCAGCGCAAACAATTACTTAGGAATCGATGAAAACATGGCTACCTGGGATTTTTGCAGGATCTTTTCCTTAATTGCCTTGACTACTGTGTATGCTGGGTTGCAGGAAACCATTCGACGCAGGAACTTTGATCCCGCTTGTACCTCGCCAATAATAATTTTCAAGTTATCAGTAGCCCAGAGGAAAAAAGTCAGAACCACTTTTTATGGTTTTAAGACATGAGAAAACTACTCAGCAGCCCCGTTGCTTCCCATGTAATTAGCTTTGTTCTGAGTTTTTCATCCTTGGTTCACGTTTAATGTTAGAATTTTTGCAAGCTTATGGAGTCTTCTCCAATCATATTCCGAATGTGAGTAACTAGATAATTCAAAAAATGTTACCTGAGACCTTCCTGCGCCAAGCTTCTGTTATGATTCTAGGTATTCGTAGATTTGTGTTGGAAAATAATTTTTGTGAGTCCTGAATCATTTCTTTTCTTCATTTTTTCAAATGTAAGGTTTCAAGATTTTCCGTCAATATTTTTAATCCCTCTAAATGTTCCAAAATTATAACCTTGGTTTTCAGGAATCTGGAGAAAAAAACCAAATGTCTGCACAGATTGAAAGAACAGCTGGTGAAATTGGAAGTCCAAAGAACAGACAAAGATGAAAACAAAACTATTGCTCTAGGAACATCCAAGTTGAATTATCTTGACCCAAGGATTTCCGTTGCCTGGTAAGAAATCTCTCTGCTCCTACTTTTTTTCTCTCATCGAATGAATGGTATTATTACGACCCTTGATATATTTCCTGCAACTGTGTTTTGCTCATACAGGGCGATCCAAAAGTCCCTTCCACCCCCTCTAACTTTTTACGGAATTGAGGTACAGATTTGAAAGTTAGGGGATGTTCCTAGAGAGGGAGCTATTTTTTGGCCCCCCTGAAATTTTCAGGGAGGCCCTCCTTGGGGGGAAACGAACCCCAACTTTTTTTTTCAAATAGGAAGACCCTCTTTGTGATTGCTCGTTCGAAAGAGCATAAAAAGAGAAAACTTTTCTCGCAAACCGGAAATCATCATCTCAAACCGTTTCAAAATGGGCGAAAATTCACACCGGTTTTTTGTCGATGGATTTGCGCTAAAGTGATGGTATTTTGACACGATAAAAACAAATCTAACGTTAGATTTAAAAAAACCGAAATTTTCAAAATGGCCGTCTTTTACAGTTCAAAATGGTCAAAAATTGCCATCTAGGTTTTTTGCCGATGGATTTGTCTGAGACTTGGAACTTTTAGGTATTTTGGTATTAGATTAACTCATTTGAACGTAGATTTCTAAAAAAAAAACCAATTTTCGGTCATTTTGTACTTTCACCGGTGGCCATTTTGGAAATTTCGGTTTTTCTTTTAAATCTAATGTCGAATTCATTTTTATCGTGTCCTAATACTTCTACCAACCGATTTTCGCGCAAATCCATCGACGATTAATCAGTGTGAATTTTCGGTAATTTTGAACTTTAACCGGCCGCCATTTTGAAACGGTTTGAGATTTTGACTTCAGGTTTGCGCAAAAAGTTTTCTTTTTTTATGCTCTTTCGAACGAGTCATCACAAAGAGGGTCTCCCCATTTGAAAAAAAAAGTTGGGGTCTGTAGCCCCCAAGAGGGGCCTCCCTGAAAATTCTAAGGGGGCCAAAAAGTAGCTCCCTTTCACCCAGGAACATTCCCTAACTTTTAAATCTTTACCTCAATTACGTAAAAAGTTACAGGAGGGGGGGGGGGTTGGGGGTTGGAAGGGACTTTTGGATCACCCTGTATGCTTCCTTTGACATTTTAACCGCACTGCCAACCTTGATTGGTGTAGCAAGTGGCAAGCAAATGCAAACAGAAGAAGGTTCCTGAAATCCGCTGATAGTTATGTCTTGGCCCCTGCGCTGATAATGAGACATAAATTGTGTGACAGCTTTGTGGCCTGCCTGGTGACATATGGTGAATACTTCGACCGTGGAGTAAGTGTGTTCGGCATTCCTATGAATGATAAGGACTAAAGGAATGAGGACTCTATTAGAAGAGAATTTTTTTTCGCTATTTGAGAACCTTCAATACTTGGGAATCTTTGGAACTTGGCTTCATGGCGCGAATTTTGAAATTTCGGGTAGTTAGCAGATTCCAGTGAGCGCATTTTTCACACCGAATCTCGACTCTGTATCCACATTGCAACACTATCTCTGTCGCAATGGTTAGTTTCCATATCCAATATCATTTGAGATGTTGCCCTCCTAAGCAGCGGTTCTTATCCTTTTCAGCTTGCAAACCCCCTAAGTCCTACTTGGACAGCTCGCGGCACCTCTCGAAGAAAATGACTTCTTTTTGTCTTTTCTTTGCCTTATCACTGTTAGTACAATGCAGCTTTCGGACTTTTTCTACCTCTCTCTCAGAGGTCCTCTAAAATAAACCGAGATCAGGCAAGCAGAAAAGGCGCTCAGCAACTGGCACTCCGTCTAGTGAGCTTTAATCCAAATAGCACTACAATGGAACACACGCAATTTCTGAGGAAATTCTGTGCGTCCCTAGTGTTAAACGCTTGTTTGCGTTTTCAGGCGTCTGCGAGAGCAAGAGATGTCAGCGGATGCGGTTTTTCCGAGTAAAAGTTTACGCGTTCGTGAAGTTTTAGGGCTGGAGCTAAGTTCGACCGGCTTCAGTTTTGGTTCTGGGCAGTTGGCTACGAGTTTCAGGGAGATCTAGATCGTTGGGGTCTGACTCCCCGAATGCACAAAGAGGACCCACTTAGTCGCATATGAATGATTGAGCATTTTGTGGTCATAGAGTCTGTGTCGTGGATCATTGTTGTATCTACTTAGTTTGTAGGAAATAAAGTGTCACACCATACTTCTTTAGTTGTGGTAATTTTACCAAGAGATATGCTACGCCCCCCCCAGGTCAGGTAGCTTGAGGGATTCCGGACCCATTACCATCTTATTCCAGGTCTATCACCATACTGCAGCATGCATGACAGACCAAAATTACGAATTAAAGAGGCAGCAAGGCATTCGTAAATGAACACAGGTCAGGTTATGATCTCACAGATCATAAAACATTATTCCAGTACAATTATTCTTCTTCGAGTTGTACTGTTTCAAAGAACACTCCATTCCAGTCCATTTCACGAGACCTGAGCCGGTAAAACTGAAATTAACATCTGTAGGAGGCAATGCAGCAGTCCTGGCCACAGTGATCTGACCGTTCGCTTGACATTCTCTATTATGCTGCAAAAAGGGGCCTGCAAGTGTCTACTGTAAGGCTAGAAACAATAGTTATACTTCATTCTTCCTCAAAGATCCCTACTACCCGGACTGTTTCATTATAAAAATCTAGTTCATTCTCCAAATTATTTGTAGAACAAACAAAAATTCTATCTACTTTTCATGACTTGAAGTTGATAAACGGTATATGCAAATAGGAATATCAGCTTCAAATCATGATGAATGGACAGAATTGTAGTGGGATGTCATGATAATGTTGCTTTGGAATCAAATTTTTACTCCAAAATAGGAATTTTTCAATGGCTGAAATAATTCAGTCAGGGGATCAGAGATCCTCGTGGAGGAATGAATTGTAACCATTGTTTACACCCTTACAATGGAAAGTTGAGGGCCCCTCTTCATTGCATAATTGAAAACGTGAAGGGAACAGTCAGGTCATTGCGACCACCACTGATGTGTTGCCTCTTATGGATTTTTTTTACCAGCTTATGCTTCATCGAAAGGGCTCCAGTTGGCTGATCGATAACATCATGGCTCATTCCAGAGGATTGCTACCTCTTGCCACCTCTGTTCTTCGTATTTAATTTATTAGGTGACTCAAGTTTTTTTGTTGTAAATAGCTAAATTTCTCAATTCGCAAAATATTACTTATTTCTCTGCTGTTCTGTTTAGGTGCAAAAAGTATGATGTTCCAATAGACAAAATTTACAATAAAACCCAAAGAGACAAATTTCGCTGGGCAATCGACATGGCTGGGCCTGATTATGTTTTTTAAATCATATTGGTATAGTAATTTTTTCCTCTAATGAAATGATTTTAATAAAATAATAATGTGTGATGTATATACATTCTTGTATGTACATAAGAGTAGTTGTGCATTCAAACTGTATCTGTATGTTTGCGTATGTTAACTTCAAGATTGTAAAAAATTTAAATTAAGCTATAGAGATTTTGTGATTTTCTTAAATTTTCTAAGACATTTTGACCTTAAGAGCTTTGAGCTGAGTATTATTTTACTTGGATGCTTTGGATTCATTCCTAAATCTATCTATTCTCATCATCGAATATTTATGTGTTACGACCGAACCATTTAAGTGTGCACATGGTGTTGTTAATGCCTTTCTAAAGCATAATTTGCTCCATAAGAATGTTTGAAGAGAACTTTTATTTATCAAAAAGTAGATTAATTTATTTTTAACTATTTTGTAACCTTGTACTTTTTTAGACTAGTAGCTGCGTAAATTACTTTCGTTTCCTGTGCTTTTTGTATTTGATGATACTTGCAGTATCTCATAAATGCTAAGTGGCATGATGGTGAATCAGAGAATCATAATTTGGTGATTGTATTAAGTTGTTCCAGTGCCAATCAACACTGGAATTTATTGTAACTACTGTATGATCTCCTAATTAAATTTTATTAACCAACCATGAAAGAAGAGATGATGGTTATCCGTCTTTCTACCCAGTCATCTCAATGTGATCTTGGCTTTTAAGTTCAGCCTCTCCAGAACATCTCTGAAACGGCACCGCAGTCCATTGTTCCATTCACTATGACCTCCATGTTGACCTTGCAGTGGGATTCTATTCCTGCATATTGGCTCATCACTGTCCTTACAAGTTAAATGGAAAGTTGCTGCTTTTATGATTTCTCCTTGGAAGCTTGGTGTACAACGTAAATACTAAAATGAAAGCCAAAAACCAAGGGAAAAAAATTGGTCAAACCTTCATACTTGATGCTGCAGTTTTTAGGTTTGAATAGCTTCCAAATTGCTAATCTAGAAGCAGATAACTGAACTTAGTAGGTCTTGTAAATTTTTTTGAAGAAGCAGGAAGAGGGCCGGGTAAAAGCTTTTCTTTCACTCTGCTGTCTTGTCCCGTACCATGGCATTAATCACCAATCTGGCCCACTTAAAGTCACCCTCAGCAAGTCATAATTTTTGGAACTAAAAGAGCACTATTCAGAGTCAGCTTAATTGTCCCCCAGATGGTTCTGAACCAATTTCTAGTATGCAGTTGTTTTGTTCGGGATTTGCCCTTCCGCCAAACTTTAAAGCCTGAACTGAATTTCTTTCTGCGTAGCAGTGTTGCCAAAGGGAAAGCTGTTGAATACCAAATCTATGTAACAAAAAGAGAATTCGAAGTGCGGTTTGTGCGAAAATTAATTTAAAAATGTGTTCTTCTAGAGAATGTCATGATGATAAAGATTGGTTTGTTTACTTTTGCAACGATACCATTTTTCATTAGTGTAGGGGCCACGAAGTCAGTTTCGTGTGCCACTTTGTAACTCTCAGGGTATCTTCCAGGGTCCCTGGGACACCTTATTTCACCAAATAAAATGTTCGGATCCCAGGACAACATATTCAACATGGCCATCATGTCCTAAATTGAAGAATCCGGAGGTGCTCCCGAAAATCTACGATTTACTCGAAAATTTTCACAGATACGCAAATTTGTCAAAGGACCAATAGTGCTCTACTCAAAATTCTACATGAGATGTCACCGAGTTAGGACCCCTGAACCCCTTAATTTTGAGAAAAATTTTACTTTTCCCCCAAAATTTCGGAAATTTTGAAAAATTCTGAATAATTTCCGTAAGCATTGTTATAACCCTCAGTGGCATGTGTTAAGTTTAGTAACAGGGCAAGTTCCAGCGTTCGTCATCAGGGGGAAAGGAAGGTTAACATAGCCTTCTTCCCCTCCTCAGGGAGCCTCCCTAGAAAATTGTTAAAATTTAGATCTTCTCGACCCTCTATTTACTCTATTTTTTGGCTGAAAGCTGATGGAACGTCTTGAAAAACTGGTTTTATTTCTTTCTCTCTTACTTTTACTTTCGTTTTCTCAACTTGTTTTGAATTTTCTTGAGCATTGGTGGAGGACGGCTATATGCTCTAAACTCCTGATTTTGCCACTTATTTAAGGTATTTCTAGTCTTCATTTTATTAGAATTTTTTGAGTTACACAGTCCTGCGTTTTTTTCGTCATGTCGAGTTGCATGGCTTGTCTTGATTGGTTCTTATGTATTTTTTAGCGCTGAATCCGGGACGAAGACCCTAAAAATTCCACCACTTCAGGATGTGCCGCAAATTCAAAATTTTGGTTTTTTGAAGGGAAAATCTCCGACTAATTGAATTTTTTTCTCCTTTTTTTTTTCAATTGGACCATTGATTTTGGCATGTAGTATCTCTTCTAAGTATGAAATAACCTCTACACGCTAAAAGGAAGCCTTGAAGAGAGATAACTGTCCGAATTTCGTCAAATTTTATGCATCGTTCGGTAATTTTTATCCCTAAAAAAATCTTTTTTCGGTCAAAATTTTTAAAAATACGACTCGAATATTTATTCGCCCTCAATTTACTTCCGTTAGTACCCACCAATCACCAGAAAAAGTAAGTGCAAGTTTCTAAAATATTAAGCAGAGAGAGGCGGCGCCAAGATGCCATGAGAGCTCCACGTGGCTCATGGCATCTGCGAACTGTCATCGGATTTATGATGAAGCGATTGTGCTAATTTTCATCTGACCCACTGTAATAGGCTTATTTAACATCTAAGCTCCTCCTCTCCCTCCCGATTCATTAAATAAAATCAACTTATAGAAAATTGTATTCCTTGCGTTGGCGTCTTTTTGGAATAATCATGTTTGCTTTCAAACTCTTCTACATAGAAAGAGTAACCAGAGAAGGAACATACATATGTTCTTTCATTGGTTCATCACGATGTAGCATACAGCAGTAATCAGCCATCATAAAGACATCCCATCTTCCCTGATGTCTATTTTCCATTTCTTTGATACCTTGGTGAAACCTTTCACCCATTTCTTCGCTCGCAGCTCCCAAATTGTCGAAGAAGCAGCGAGCCGCGTGGAGCTCTTCTGACATCTTTGCACCCCCTTCCCCTCTTCTCAATATTTTAGAAACTTGTGTTTACTCTTTCTGGTGATGGTTCTAGTGGGTACTAACGGAAATGAATTATGGGGGAATACATTTTTTCGAGTCGTATTTTGAAAAATTTTGACTGGAAAACGACTTTTTTGGGGATAAAAATCACCTAAAAATGCATCAAATTTGACGAAATTTGCACAATTACCACTCTTCGAGCCTTCCTTTTGACGTGTTATGGATATTCTATACTTAGCAGCGATACTACAGACCAAAATCAATGGTCAAATTGAAAAAAGAAAAAAAAATCCATTTTTTGGAAATTTTTGCCCCCAAAAAACCAAAATGTTGAATTTGCGGAAAATCCTGACATGATGCAATTTTTTGGATATTTCCCCCAAATTCAGGGCTACAAAGTACACAAGAATCAACCAAGACATGCCATGCAACTTGACATGACCAAACAAACGCAGTGCTGTTTTATTTAAGTTTCCCAAAAAGATATCTTTCTGAGTTTAAAACAACCTTGAGAATTGTCTTATACATCACCAATTAGATCCGAGCGAGCAACATATTATGGAAATGGAGGGCGACTGCGCTGGAGGGAGCAATCGCAATTGCTACAGAAATAGGGAACAAGATAGCGCATCGGAGGCAAAAGCACTGCACTGCCGTGAGGGGCCAAGAGGAGCGAGCTGCGATCGCGCAGCGAAGCGCTCGGACTCGGAACGTACCGCTCTTCCCGTCCGCCTTGATTCCACCGCCGAGCAGTGGCTCTCCGCTCAGCCCATCACAAGCGATTCTCCAGAGCACGAGTTGGCCCGTGTTCATGCCGCGCTGCGCCACCTCCATCCGCTCTGCCGCTTTCCTACTTTGGTTGCTCTGACGTTTATCTTTATCTCCCTCTTTCTGTTTTTGATGCAATTTACTTACTTAACATTTTTTATCAGTACCTAATATTTGCTAAAATTTAAAGCTTGTAATAGGTGTAATTTTCCTCTTTCTTCTGAAATTCTTCTTTGGGTAAGCAGTGCTTGCCTTGTTTATCGGGACCGCACGCCCCTGTGACCCCAATGCTTCAACTGAGTGTCAAATAATTACTTCATACCTTCTGCTTACATGATCCGTCAAGTTCCAACCTGCAAAGCTCCGCCACTCCCAGAAATTTAGCGATGAATTTCATTTTTTGCGATTTCCAGTTTGGTGACATTTTTTTAAAAAAAAAAAAAAAACCTATTTTCCAAGTTCCAGTTCGTGGAGAAACAGTAATAAGTGCCTCAGTCCCATCAATATATTGCCTGTTGTACGGTAATTGATGCTAGCTTCTCAAATTCTATGCAACTCCCCCCTCAAAAAAAAATCCAAGATGGCGGCCAAAATGATCCTTTCAGGTTAAAACAAATTTACGTGGCAAATTTGCCGAGTTAGGTGTCGATTCGAAGCAGAACCTGGCATTGCCGCCAGATTTGGATTGTGGAAAAAAAACTGGAGAAAATATTGGTCAAATTGTGTACACCGGGCATCACTGAAAAATTTTTTCTACAGATATTATTTGGACTTGAAGCGTCGTTTCTTGTCAACAACATTCGGTTCTTTTGCGTTGAATTCTTGCGGATTTTACTTGAAGTCAGTTTTTTTGAGTTAAACAAGCGTTGTGTTACTATCGTTTTTTAAACTTGAACTTAACGCTAGCAGAACAATGTTTGTTTAACTAAAAAAAACAGATTTTTTTGCTAGAAACTCACTGTAAGTCAAAGTAATATCTTAAGAAAGATTGTTAAGTGCATGTATTTCAGAGGTTGCAATAGAGTTTTGTTGGTGCAACTATGCACAAAAAAAGTTGCGCACCACCTTACACTTGTCGAACGCACAATTTAAAGTGTGCCAAGATGTGCAAAGGCGGCTTCGCCTTCCTTCAGGCACTTTTTACCTTGCACAATCTTTAGGTAATCCAGAGTTGTGCGACAATTTCGACCTTGAAGAAAAATATGAAGATGAGGAAGAAAGTACAACAATGTGCACTAACACATGTGACTCCTCAGACAACAGAGAGGCGTAATTTTTCTGTCTTATAAGTCAATTAAATTTTCATTCTGGTCAGTGAAATGTAACTTAATTTATTTTAATGTGTTAAAGGGAGTTATTTTTATTCAACTTTATATTTTTATATTTTGTTTGTACGTACCAAAAATTATTCCATTCCAATTTAAATGTCAAGAATTTTTTTTTGGGCGTACATACATACATTAAGGCACTTTCACAGGGCAGCCACGCGCTCTGCGACGCCCAATCGCTATTGCCCCCTATCCTCCCAGAGATCATCAGGCAATTGGCACCTTCTGATCTCCTCCTCCACCCCTTGTCGCCCCTTTCACAGGATCCCCCAGGCCCTTTTGGGCGTACATCCCCCCGTCTTAATTGTATTTCTGGAAAGTTGCCCATGTGGTAAAACATTTTCAGTAACATTCACACCCCGAAAAGCTCGACCGCTGGAGCCGAAATTTTCGATCCCGGTGGCCAACCTTCGGTACCTAACATTGTCCAAAACTAGGCATCGCTATGC